TGGGGAGAAACCGGGACAGCCAGAAGAGAAAGACGCTTTTCTGCGTCATTCGTGCATTCACTCAGCGAACACTGACTCAGCCCCGATCTGTCCTCCCTTCCCTCCTCCTGAGCCTGCGCTCCCTGTGTGTCCACAAGCAGGAAGCGGATACAATGCCTGGGCCTCCAGGTCAAGCACAGAGCCCAGGCCGGAGGTGACTGCTCCTACATCTGATGGGCTCTGAAGCCCGATGTCTCCAGGCCAACAAGGAAAGGCAGGTTTAGCTTTCAGAGGAGCAAAATTGACCCCAAATCGCTTTAGAAGGTGCCAATTCGATAATATAGTCCTCATTGTTTCCTTTCCCCTCTACATTGTGAAGAAGCTGTTGGTGACAGGCTGAGGCTCCCAGGTACAGATCTTCGTACATCTAAGGCACCCTGCTGCTCCCTGGCAGGGATTGCTTGGTGAGGGAGGAAACCAAAATGGGATCACCAAACCTGCCCTTTGTTCACAGAATGCTCTGGAGTTCAATGACTTTATGCCATTTTTCCATGTGTGTGCACAAAAAATCCAAAACCCCCTCTGTGCTCACACACCAAAACCAGAAGAGATCTGCAGTGACAACAAGATCAGTGGCACATGCTGACTGTGGACGCCAGGCCATGTTAACCAGAGCTGTTTCTGGACTCCTCTGTACACCAGTGTGGACACCAGGCCACTACATTTCACAATTCAAGTGACTCTTGGAAAAAGCTGTCCGGGGCTTCCCTGGTGGCACAGTAGTTAAGAATCTGCCTGCCAACGCAGGGGACAGGGGTTCGAGCCCTGGTCTGGGAAGATTCCACATGCCGTGGAGCAACTAAGTCCATGCGCCATGACCACTGAGCCTGCGCTCTAGAACCCACGAGCCACAACTACTGAGCCCACGTGCCACAACTACTGAAGCCTGTGTGCCTAGAGCCCGTGCTCCGCAACAAGAGAAGCCATCGCAATGAGAAGCCCGCGCACCACAACGAAGAGTAGCCCCTGCTCGCCACAACTAGAGAAAGCCCGCGTGCAGCAACGAAGATCCAACACAGCCAAAAATAAAATAAATAAGTTTATTTTTTAAAAAAAAGAAAGGAAAAGCTGTCTGCTCCACTGCTCCCAACACTGCCCTTCCTCCACTGCCTCCGTGGCATGGGCGAAAGCTTAAAAATATATCCTGGTACATGTGCAAGAATGACCACGCCACCATTATTTAAAAAGCAAAACCGGAAACAACCCAAACGCACAATGACAGGAGAAAGAATAAAGTGTGTACCGTCACGGAATGAACTATTACATAACCATGAAGATGATCAAATTATCAGATACAACTACCAACATGGCTACATCTTAGAAACAACCACACAATATGACACTGTTCTTATAAAGTTCAAAATTCAACAAAACTCAACGATACATTACTTAGGGATCCATGTCCATGTGGTAAATTCATACTTAAAAAACGAAGAGAAGGGGATGATTATCAGGGTGGTGGTGATTTTGGGGGGAGAGGCAAGGACTGGGGAGAAGCACACACTGCTTATCTTCTGCTTCTTAGACTGGGTAGTAAGCTCATGTGTTTATCACTACACTTTTAAACTGGCATACACATTACATATATTCCTTTGTATACATCAAATTACACAATTAAAAAAAAACAAGAAAAAATTACCCGCCTGGTGTCTGACCACCCAAATCTTACTCACCAGCGCTACGAAGTATAATCAGAGACGGGAGGAAGAAGCACCCCGGAGGCCTGGAAGCCGTGTCCTGGCTGCACGAGCCTGGAGAAACCACGACCTCCACCACCTCAGGTTCCTCACTTGTGAAATGAAACCCATCGGCGCTACGTACCTTGAGGGCCTCTACGAGGAGGAAAGGAGATGAGCGCTAGGTAAAGCACAAGGCAGGCTCCGCGTGGTTCAGGGGGCAGGGGACATGTGCTGTCATACGGACTGCTTGCTCGGCCCTGCCTCTCCCCTGAGGAATGACCTCCTCCACTCCACATTCTTCTCGGGGGCTGCCAAGGCAGGACCCACCCCCCCAGGGGGAGGGACAACTTCAGGTTAGGCCAGTGGGAGTGTTTCCCTTCGGATATATGAGCACAGGCGCAGGATGAAAGGACGAAAGGCAGTTGAGGTCAAATCACTTGGGCCACAGAGTCCAAAAGGGACCTTGTCGGACTTCCCTGGTGGCGCAGTGGTTAAGAGTCCACCTGCCGATGCGGGGGACGCGGGTTCGTGCTCCGGTCTGGGAAGATCCCACATGCCGCAGAGCGGCTGGGCCCGTGAGCCATGGCCGCTGAGCCTGCACGTCCGGAGCCTGTGCTCCGCAACAGGAGAGGCCACAGCAGTGAGAGGCCTGCGTACCGCAAAAAAAAAAAAAAAAAAAAAAAAAAGGGACCTTGTCCTGCTCCTGACACCCCTGGAGTGGACCTGGTTTTTGTCCCTCCTGGCAGGGCAGCTCTATCTTCATGTCTGTGAGCATCCAGCATCATTAAAAAGCAAAACAAAGACAAAAACCAACCCTTTTCTTGCTTCAGTTCATCAGAGCAGGTTTCTGTTGCCTGCACTCACGGAAGCCTGGCTGACTCAGGAGGAAACGCTGCTTTATTACAAAGCATGGGTGCACTTCAGGCTTCAGCCAAGCAGGCAGAGGGAGGTGTCAGCAGAGACTGCCCACGCGCGTCCTGCTTCAGCGGCCTAGTTGGTCGGTCCCCCCATCAGTCTCACTTGCCTCCCAAAGCTTTCAGAGTGCACCACCTCCCAGATTCACACAATTCATTTCAGGAGGATCTCCAGAAAACAAGGTTCACTCCTGCCTGAACCTCGTGCAGTGGCGCCCCACTGCCTACAGCACGGGTCTCACACTGTCTCCACCGGTCACAGGGCACAGGTGACTAGCGAGGGGACAAGGGGAGGTGGCAGCTGCCGGTCCCGCTCTCCGCCCAGGTGGAAATTCCCTTCGACCTCAGAGAAGATGTGTGTGGTGACAGCAAGTGGCCTAGGGATCTGCAGTCTAATAAAATACCATCTTTAAAAGTAAAAGCCAAATAAAGCCATGATGTTAAAAGTATGATTATCCACCTGGCAATTTAATTCCGAATCAGATCACCCACTGCTCTTCCTATAAACAGACACCACCTTGTGTGAATTCCCATGTCACCTAAGGAAGATGACAGCTTGCTGGCCAGATGCACAGTGATCTGAATTAGCCACTCGTGGCCGTGAAAACGGTGTGTATAAAAGCGAATCCTGTCCTTGACGGAGCCCCGAAACTCTCATCATCAGTCTATGAAAACAGAAGCTCAGTGAGAAAGCAGATGAGGCTGACAGGTCGCTGTGAAATAAAAGCCCACTTTCTCAGGTGGAAGTAACTCTAATATCTTAGACTGTTTGCCTAGAAGCCTGTTGTCCCTGCTCACTCCTGTCCATGCCAAATCCCTATACCTTCACCAGGAAACGGAGGCTCAATGACCCAGAAGTAATTTGAGCAAACCTATCTCACTGTGGACACTTTCACTTCTATCTTCATTAACTCTTTGGTCCCTGTCAAGTATCCTGGAAGTGGGATTTATGTTTCAGCTGCTGGGTCTAGAGGATCTTAACATTTAGACAATTTGTACGTTTAACCGGGGCAGAAAATATTGCATGTTTTTCTAGACATATACAAATTGTTTTCTTTTTCTAGCAAAAGAACGCTGTGTTATCTCATTCGCTGTACTTTTTAACTGAAAGAATTTTAAAGAAAAGTAGCATGTTACCCAGATGAACGTCACTGATTTTGCCTCGCATGTGAAATCCCGCCCGATTAACAATCCCACGTCTTTTCCTTTCTTAAGAGAAAAACACACATGCACACACAATAAGCCTGCTCTCTTCAGGTGAGTGGACTGAGTGAACAGTCGCTCGTCCTGGGTGACTACCTATTTATAAGAGTTTACAATGGTAAAACGCTGAAGTCCGGGGACTTCACACCAGGCCCCAGAGCAGCAGTGCTAGTGAGACGTAAAAAAAACACTCAGTCCTGAAGCTTGCCTTCCTGATGTCCATCAAAAACCATCACTCTTAAGCAGTTAATTCTCCTTTTCTGTAAAACATGGAGGCTCCTCAAAATCTGTGCTCGAGGAAGGGCTCTCCAAGCATGTGTATTAGTACCCAGAGTGCCAGAAAAGCACCTCATCACTGCAGTCTCTGTGCCTTTCTAATTGCTACTATAATTTAGCATTTCTATTCTACCGTATTTCCCAAACACACCTGTCTTTGGTGAATTTATGTGAATACAAACATCAGTGATGAGGTCAGGAGGCCAACTTGCTCAGGGCAAACCCACATCAGAAACAACAAAATCAGACTTCCCTGGTGGCCCAGTGGTTAAGAATCCACCTTCCAATGCAAGGGACGTGGGTTCGAGCCCTGGTCGGGGAACTAAGATCCCACATGCCGCAGGGTAACTAAGCCTGCATGCCGTAACTACTGAGCCCGCGCACCACAACTAGAGAGGAGCCTGCGTGCCGCAGCTAAGACCCGACACAGCCAAAAACAAACAAATGAATAAATAAATATTGAAAAAAAAAAAAAGAAAAAGAAAAAAGAAACAACAAAATCAGAAACCGTCAGTGATAAGCACTCAGACACTTTCTTCAAATACGGAATGGATTTTATAAATGATTTCCCATAGCAGGATCCAATAGGCGAGCGTTCCTATTGTCTTTGGTACACTATAAGACAGGTTCACCAAAACACCATGAACTGACTCACAGGGGACAGGGTCTCACACTGTATTTCCTGTCTGGGTAACTCTTAGATGGGCTCTGTGATTTCATTCAAAAGCATGTAGAACGTACTACAGAATGCCGGTAAAGAGAAATAACGCTGTTCACCATCAAACTGGGATTTAATTTCCATTCTAGAGCTCCGACCACACAGAAACAGGTTAACCTGGAGGCCAATGTCCTTGCACGTGTCCCTACAAACAGGTCAGGCAGAACTTACGAGAAGCATGGCGGACGTCCCATTGGGTCTGGATAAGTGGATGGACATTTCAGGGAACATCCTGTCGATGCGGCTGATCACGTCGTCAACATACCTGAGAGGGAGAGAGACACACAGGTGTAAGAGCTGGAGCCCTAGCCACAGAAATACAAACCTACGGTACGCTTTCCTTCTCAATTTAATTTTTCATTAGTGAAATACGTTTTTAAGAAGGTAGATGGGATTTATAAGCCTTTTAAGGAAAAACACTACTCCCCAGTTCTCCCTCTTGCTTTTTAGTGATTTAGTGACCATCCGTTTTTTTAGTGATTTCTGTTGGTATTTACCTCTGTATTTCCACATGATGTGTTTTTAATGCCAGTTCTTGGTTTTCATTTTATTGGTCTTCATTTTTGGTCTTCATTTTTCATTTTAAGGTGTGACCTCGTGGCTTTCTTCTATAGACCAGAATTTAGTTCTGCCACCTTCCTGGCCACTGGGCTCCAATTACCGGGCCCCTCCCTCTGTCCTCCTGGTCTAGGGATGGAAGCAGCTTCCTGTTTTGCTCACCTCTGTCTGCCTTCCTGTTTCCTCTTTGGCTTCTCATCTCAATCACCTCAATAATCAAGTCTCTGGATTAAATTCCTTCTGTTTTAAATACCTGAAGTCATTCCTGTTTTTCTGGTTTGAGTCTAACTAATGCAAATGATCTCACCATTTTTGCTTAAATCAGTATTTCTTGTTTACATTCTAAAATATCTGCTATATATATTTTTTTAATAGCTGAGCTGCATAGTGGCTCGTGAGTATATTTATTCACTTGTACAGTTTTTTGTTTCACTGGATTTTCACTTGATTCTTTTTCTGTGTACCTGTGACAATTTTTTCCCTTAAACTCTCTACCTGACTCTAAAACTTCTCTGACTATGGTCAAACATATCAGACATATCAGTTTCCATTTTTTTCTTGGAAACATCCCTCTGAAAGGCAGTCTTCTGTTCTTCTGGTCCAAATGGAAGCTGTACCTATTACGATTCAATGATCATTGAGATAAATGACATTAAGCACTTAGCATGGCATAAACTTAGGGCTTAAAATTTATAAATACTCTTACTGGTATATCATGGGCATCGTGGGCATAGTCTGCAGAACTGTCCTCTCTTAGCAGGAAGAATCCCTCCCACCCCCAATACCCCAGCGGAAGCTCACTGAGAAAACACCAACCCACAGCATCAACAGATCTGGGTCTGGCTCAGATCCTCTGAGAATAAAATCACAGCAGCATTTGTGCTCACCGTCCAATCACACGGACACAAAGGGGATGTAGAAAACAGTAGCTGAGATGCAAAACTATCTGTTAAGAATTTTTACGTTGGATTTCGTATCTGTTGGATGCGACAAATTAAATTACACGTCCATTAGATCAGGGACATATAAAAGCTATGTTCTCTCGGGGAAAGAGGGAGATTCGCTCTCCACTCACAACATGAACAGAGTTTAGTTTGAAACCTGGGGCTCATGAGAGACAGCAGACAACACGATGCCAATTGTTAAAACGTGAACATCAACATATGAGCTATGGAAGTCAGTAATCTTGCTGATTAACCTATCAGGTTTTCCCTAGGGAACGTTATATGCAGTTTTAAACTTCAAGTTGAAAAACGAAGGGGGAAACTCTAGAAGGCCCAGTGGTGAGTAACAATGATAGGAAGACCAGAGCAGAGACAAGCGAGAAGGGGGGAGGTGCGCTAAAGGCTACTTGCTCCTGCAGAAAACGGGGCTGCCCGTGGGGAGACTCGGGTATTCTTCAAGTGTGCAAACGGCTTTTAAAACTCAGTACCGAAGAGCCATCTTCCATCTCAAGAAAGGACCACAAGGTGAGGATGTGGCATTAAAAAGCGAACTAGCTTAAAAAGAAAAGAGGTACTGCTTAAAGGCAAGGCTCCATTCTGTTGATTTTGAAAATGGTTTAGGAAACAATCTTTCCTGGATGGCTCAGAGCCAGACTGACTAAGACATCACGCATCATCTCCCGCGGTCCCTTCTAGATTTACAGCTTCACGATACACAACCTTGGCTCTAAGCTTAAACGCTACAAAAGAGGCGAAAAGATGAGAAAAGGAGGAAATTAACTCATTTTTCACAACTGCCTACTGTTTCTTGAGATGGTGGAAGACAGGTGGCAACCTTCATGTCAAAAGTTCACACCAGGTCACTGGAGACATTTCTGCATTTACAGACTGCTTTGCTAACAACTCTACGTGTGTGATGTAAACCCAGTTACTTCAGACTCAGCAGGAAGCAGAAATCCACTGTCCTGTGTGGATGGAGGTCATTGCTAAGTACATGCTAACGGGGAGGGGGACAGTCAATGTCTTCTGAACGGATCCTCAATCACTAGCCATTATAGCTCTGGACAGAATGCAAATGAATATGCAGAACTTGAGCACAAAGTTAACATGGTAATTTGCTCTCCCTTGTACCTTTCACCTTGAAGCTTCCGAAGTACTTTCTAGAAAACCTGTCTCTCTAGTAGGCTGGGAATTTAGGGGCATAGGTAGGTGAGGTGATGATTCCAGAAACCAAGTTCAGGGTGTAGGTTTCCAGGACTCTATGCCAGCTGCTCGGTTCGCTTGCTTTCAGCAGGGTCCAGCATTCTGAAAGGGCAGAGGCAACAAATGCTCCCTGACATTTCTGGAATCCTCTGCATACGAGCTCTTTACTTGTAAAGGGAGGCAGTGGCAGGAGAAAAGAGCCCCAGAAGAAATATCTGATGCGGACATGGGAAAGTAGAGAGGTCGGGGGCGGTATTTTTGGTTCCCTCCCCAGCCAGTGATCTCAGATAAAGCTCAGCAAAGCTCAACCCAAAGATTTTATTAAGCAAAAATGCGCTTCAAGGAGACGGTTCTTCATTCCCACACCTAACATAAAGGAGATGCAAATTTCCTTTTTACAGGTGACATTATGTATTTGCCAAAAAAGAGAAAGAAAGTCAGCTGCATCTTTCGCTGAGGAAAACAATGTCGGAATCCTAGAAGCAAAAAATCAAAACATTTCATTTTCAAATAGACCCAACCTTCAAAACGCAAATGCACCACTAGTGACTTGACAGAAATAAGGAAAGCTTGGAACGGCAAATTAAAAAGCTGGAGCTGAGATGACATTTTCTTTCTGCAGAGGGTGGGGGTTGGCATGGGGGGGGGCTCCTGGCTTCCTCTGTGTGCCCCGCCAGCCCCGCCAGCGCGTGCAGAGCTCAGAGCGCGGGCCCAGGACAGGTAGGAACAGCGCGCTCCCCTCCCACACGCCACCATATGCTGCACTCCGCTCTGCGGCAGGATCGAATGACTTTAATTTTTACCTTTGGAATATAGGCAAACAAGCACTAACACGGCAGTGGCGACTAGTTTACACTTGAGCAGACGCGGTGCAGAACGACATTAATTTCGTGCCAAATTGAGCAGTGAGTCACAATTTGCACATATCTGTCAACCTGTTAACAGGGTAATAACTTGGAAAGATTGCTGTTCCTATTTACATTACAGAGGCCTTTCGAAAACGGAGAGCTGCTTGGTTCTCCTCCTTGAAGCACTCAGCTGATCAGCTGGCTGGCTGGTCCAAGCACCAGGTTTTTAGAAACACAAACTCCTAGAAATCACAGGTTCAGATCAAGGTGTGATTCATAGTTTCAATATTTTCAGGTAGAAAATGAACTTTTAAGCAATTAGAGAATTCCATCTCCCTGTCCCGCTCCTCAGTTACAGTCAGACTCTCAATGGGTTCGGATCCAATTTCCCCAGTGCATCCGACGGCTCCTTCTCAGGCTTTCCAAAGGCTTCCTTAGTACCAAGCTTCAGTCTTAACTATTCCAACATCTCTGCTGATTCAGAAACAACCATGCCTTTCTCGGAATCCTAACATTTGTCTCTGAAGCCCTATAAACCTTGTTCTCTTCTGATTTTCTTCAAGTAGCTTGGCCTGCTCCTTTAAATGTCCTTAATCAGAGAATTAAAGAACACCGGGATCTCAGAGGTCCTCTTACTCAATGTCCCCGTCAATCTAGGGACTTAACAGCATCTCCAAGAGATGGTCTGCTTAAATAAACAAGCCTGTAGCACACCTTATAAGACAGCCCCGTGCACTGCTGGACCACCAGGCTGCTTCCAACCCACTGACCAGTATCTCCCTCCACCCAATTACTTCCTTCAGCCTTGTGAAATCACACACAAATATTTCCTCTGAAACCTAAAGGCTTTCTGCAAACGTGTAAAAGACTATTGGTTTTCCGACTTATCAGTGTTTTTAAATCTTTCTTGGGTCACAGATCCCTTTCAGAATGCACTAAAAACTAAAATATATGTCTGCACAAAATTTTGCATGTAATTTTCTGCAGTTTATAGGTCCCTTAAAGTCCATTCATGGACCCCAAGTTCAGAAAAACTGCTCTAGACCTGTTCTAGAATGAAGGTAACTGGTTTTCTTCTTTAGTCCTTTCTGGATGGAAAACTGTAGTTTTCAATAAAGCTATCTTCATTTTGGAAATATATATATATTTTTTGCAGCCTAGAAGTGAACATAACTGAAGTGGTAGTACCGGGGGTACAATGGATCTGATAGTTCTGATCATCTTAAAATCATGCTTCCATGCTGGAGTCCAAGGTTAGTGTTTGCTTTTAAACTACTGTCTCTCACTGCTTATCTTTCCAACAAAGTCAAGGACCTACTTCCATGACCTTAGAGGTCACCTGATAGTAAGTAACCCCTTCTGCCTTCTACAGCCACATCACCTGTGCTTTACAGCAGCTCCTTGCTTGTAAAAAGAGAGAGCTCCCCGCTTTCTGCATCACTGCTTAAGGCACAGCTCGGTGGTGAACTTAACCTCAAGTCCTCAGAGGGCCAACGAGGCCCCGAGGTCCAGCTGCTGCTCTGCTCTGGCCTGGCCCCGCCTCCTCCCCCCACGTCCAGAGCAGGCTCGCACTACCTTGCACGCTGTGCTGTGCACGTTCTACATTCTCCACCTGGAGGATTCCTCTCATAACTCCTCCCACCCCCATGCCCAGGTCAGCCCCATGCCTGCTTCAAGTCTTTGGGTTCCAGCTTAAATGACACTTCCTCAGG